GCATTCGTCACTGTTCACAGTTTAAAATCTGCTAGTTTGATCGAAGGTTCGACTCTGCCGCTGGGACAGTCAATCCCTCTACGATTCGTTTCGATGATAAATTGACACTGGCACCTTACTTATAAGCAACCTTCGAAAGAGGGGGCCATCGACAGCCTTTCCAACGGGTGGTTGCTGTAGACATTTGTTAGCTTTCGGACTACTTCCTGAGTGCCTCTGCCTCCGCGAAAGACGAATACAGAAGGATTTTGATTTTTGGCTTCCAGTTTGTTCAGTTCTTTTTTTGGCTTTTGGCTTCAATTCAATCTCTTTAGTTGCACATAATCAGATCGTTGGTCGCCTCAGCTTTTGTGTTACCGAATGATTATGGAAATAACTGGAACTTGACTAGGGCCAGGATCTGCCTAACCACTTCCTCTCTCAAAGTTTTTTAGATGCGGATGATTTCCGTCTTCCGAATTGCGGCCGCTTAACAAGCAAAAGAATGCTTTAGCTGAATTCTCTGTCATCCACTCGTTTCTCATTTTGTGAATTTTTGAAGAATTTGAGAAATCTCACCGAGAGTGCTTTTTTCAGTTACTGTATTGCCGATCCACTGCAGCTGAACCCAGACTTCGGTAGCTCAGCACTATCGGTATGTTTCCTGAACTAAAATAAATTTTTAATGCTAGCCCTTTATTACACTTCACATATGCGGATAATGAAGTGTAATAAAGCACAGAGGTTTAAAGTGCAGAAATAATTATTCAGGTATTTTCCTTCGAAGAAAATTTTATGTTAAGTGCGCATATTTATTATTATTATTATTATTATTATTATCATTATTATTATGCGGTTTTGCATATATGTAAACTGCAGAGCTAAGGGGCTGAAACTTTGTAAAGATATCCCCTGTGCACGTGCTAGCTAAAGATTTCAAATTCAGCCCCCAATCGTACGTGGTACTCACGTAAGGGCGTGTGAAAGTTTTAGGAGGAAAATTGCTAACTCGGGTACTAGGAAAGCTAGAAAGCTGAAATTTTGGAGGAATGTTGCCTATCCAACTGCAACTCAAATATTTCAAATTCAGCCACAAGCTATGCATGGTACTCACATAAGGGCATATGAAAGTTTCTGCAGGAAAATTACTAACTCGGCA